ATGATGATGATGATGATGATAATAACATTTGGTTGAAAGTTTAGGATCTCAAAGGTAGTCATTTGGTTCAAGATAAGAATCCTGATGTCTGGCAGGGTAGGTATCACCACCTGTACAGGTCTACACAGTGAATGAATGCCCTTACAGGTAAGACACTGCTGAATTAGGCACTGTTCTATTGCTGTGAAGAGATACCATGACGAAGGCAAATCTTATTTTTTTAAAAAAAACTATTTAATTGGGGCTGGCTTATAGTTTCAGGGTCTAAGTCCATTATCATCACGTCTGGAGACATAGCAGCAGTAGGCCAGAGATGTAACTGAAAGCTACATCCTGACACATGGAGGGAGGGTGGGGGAGACAAAGAGAGACACAGAGGAACAGAGACAGAGAAAGACAGACACAGAGAGACACAGATACAAACAGAGACAGAGACAGAGAGAGCTGGACCTAGCATGTGCTTTTGAAAACTCAAAGCCCACCTTCAGTGACACACTTCCTCCAACAAGGCCACACCTCCTCATCCTGCTCAAACAGTGTCACTCCCGAGTGACTGAGCACTCAAATATATGAGTCTATGAGGACCACGCTTACTCAAACCACCACAACTACCATAGTCTCCTTGTCCCAGAAGAGAAAAAGAAGACCATGACTATCTAGAGGGTAGCCATCTATAAACTTTGACTCCCAAATTGGTAAGCAAAAGAAGCAACAATGGCAAGAAAATTCTATAGAGCAGAATGTGTGGTTGGTAGGTATCCCCAGTCGATTCAGTGTAAGGCAGTGTGCTACAGCAGACCTTTGGGAAGTGGAAACTTGACCATTCCTGTGTGGCCTGAGGCTTTTTGCTGGTGGGAAGCCTGAGACATCAGTTTTGCAGTGATGGCGTAGTATGGAGCCATCCAGGTGGAATCTCTACCACTGCACCACAAGCCAAACTCTTCTCAGGCTACTCTTGGTCTTCTTCTTCTGGGAACTCTGACAGAGTTCTTGACTGCAGTCTAATGATCTCAATCATGAAGAATTCTGGAATTGGGGAAAGTATTAATAACTCAACCTTTCTGGTATACTTGAAGCCACTTGTTTTCCATAGAACACCCGAATCCTATTTCAGGTCTCTCATATATCTATCTTGACTGGGATTAGCTGCTATAACACTGGTTAGTATTT